AGGGAAAAACAAGCAATTACATGTAAAGGTTCCCAAATGAGAATATGCTCAGACCTATCAGCAGAAACTATGAAGAAGAGGAGAGAGTGGAGTAAAATATTCCAAAAATTGAAGGAAAACAACACAAACCCAAGAATTACTCTACCCAGCCAAATTATCGATCAAGACAGATGGAGAAATAAGAGTCTTCCCAGACAAGGAAAACGTTAGAAGAAACCCAGCCCTACAAAAGATCTGTGCCAATCCACTATGGGCAGAAGAACAACACTCACCAAGCATAAAAGACCACCACATAGAACAACCTCACCCAGAGGCTTAAGGATGGAGAGATGTCCAGAATGATACACACACACACACACACACAACACAGTAATAAGAAAGGAAGGTAGGAAAACACCAAACACAAAAGGTATAAGATGACATCACAGAGTACGTAGATTGAGATAATAACTCTGAATATCAATGGCCTGAACTCAGGCATTAAAAGACTTAAGCTAGCAGAATGGCTTAGAAAACACAACCCACCAATCTGCTGCCTACAGGAGACACAGCTCAAAGCTACATACAAAAGTAGGCTGAGAATCAAAGGCTGGAGAAAGGCATACCAAGGAAACAGCAATACAAATAAAGCAGGGGTTCAATCCTAATCTCAGACAAAACTGACCTCAAAGTGCAAACCACAAAAAAAGATAAGGAGGGACACTATATAATGCTCAAGGGATGGGAGACAAAGAAGCACTAAGCATTGGGAGACAAAGAAGCACTAAGCATTGTAAACATATATTCCCCAAATGAGAGACCTGCTGCATACGTCAACCAAACACTCCAAAAGATGAAAAAAGAAATCACAGCCTCAACAATTATAGTGGGTGACTTCAATATGCAACTCTCTGAGAAAGATAGATCACAGGAAAAGAAACTCAACAAGAAGGCTAGAGATCTAAACACTACAATTACACAATTTGACCTGATAGATATTTACAGAGCTTTTCATCCAAATATAAATAAATTCACATGCTTCTCAAGCCCACATGGCACATATTCAAAGATGGACCATATCCTGGAGCATAAGGTAAATCTACATAAATGTAAGCACATTGATATCATACAGAGCTCTCTCTCTGACCACTGTGCCATAAGGCTGGAAATCAACAAAAGGAAGATGAAGAAAACAAGATCAAACAATTAGAGGATGAATAACTCTTTACCTCAAAAGGAGTGCATACTGGCACAGATCAAAGATGAAATTAGGATATTTCTAGAAACCAACAAGAATG